GACTCTCCCATAAGGAGGATTAATCATTATGGAATAAGTCGACCAGCCGCCCTATCAAAGCCGATCGCGAAATTTGTGAATTTGTCTATACAAGTTGTTCCCATCTCAAGATCTAATCCTATCGTAGCAGTCCACTCCTAGGAGGTCGGGCTAGAGACGGCAGGGACAGACTGACCCTGTTTTTCACTGTTCACTGAGTGCTCGATCGGTCGACCCAGCCACAGAGACTGTCGTCATCCGATTGAATCGCCCCCAGTTCATGTGAGAGCCTCTAAGAGTTATAATGGGAAACTCAGATAGAACCCTTTTGTCTAGTCCCAAGATCGAACTTAGTTCGTCGTGGGAACGAGGGCTCCATACTCCACGCCACGAGACGGTGCAGGAGGTCGTCGTTATACTGTCCGAACTCGGCAGATTAAGTAACACCGCCACCTTTTTGACAAGCTGCTCATGAGAGCCGTACTTTTTGCATTTGTCTCTATGTGAATCGTCAAGCGGCTTGCGCCCTGATACTATTTGAGTATCGACGATTACTCCGACACCATCCCTCGACGCGATGAGATCCGGTTTCCTCAACCCCATAGAAGTGCGAATCTTGGGCTCCTCGATCACAGACCATCCCTTTTCGCACATAGCGGCCGCGACTAATCTTACTACGGCATTATGTCTCTCGATACGCCCACCATGCGTTCGGTGACATTGCTGGATTGCGTGAGTCGTCGTCTCCTTGACCATGCATAACGCACGGCAGTTCAACTCCGACTCACGCCCCACTCTTCGTCCTCTCGAATTCCTCACCCTAGAGGGGAGGGCATTGATATGCGTATGAATGAATTGCACATAGTCGCGACCGCTAATCCCGTGGCACCTCTCCCTGATCCACTTTGTGGATGCTGGGGTTCGACCGGACTCGCGAAGTTCGAATCCGTCGACAGAGGCGTGAAGGGATTGTCGCCAGTAGGCACGCACCGACGGCGCATGCCTAAAGGGATCGTCTCTCGAGAACTTCTGGAGCTGCCGACTACTCCAGCTCAATTTCTTACGAATCCTGTCGGATTTGGACGCAGCCACCGCCACTGGCCAACTCGACGTTCGAAGCTTCCCGAACCTCTTTGAGATGAGGTCGGGAATGCTCGTTCGAAGAGAAGGGATCGCTAGGCCGCCGTCTCTAATTGAAGCATGGAAGTAGGCATTCGGCACATCTCCAGGTAATCTGAGCCATTTACGGACCGCACCCCGGATTAGCACATCGAGCATGCGAAGACGGTTGTCCGTCACACGCCCAAGCACAAGACCATGAAGGAATCTGGGAATCAGATGAGCTCGAACTATTTGCAATCGCTGCTGCGGTTTGAGCGGCGCTTTCATAATGTTATTTAAGGCTTCACTGATTCCCATCTCCAACGTAGTCGATCCGGTTGCCTCGAACTCAATCCCAAGATATCTCCAACGTTCAACGCAAGTTACCTGTCTTACTGGACGTCCCGCAATTCGGAACGTCCGTTCGGTTAAATAGTGGTGTTTCTTGCGATGTCCGTCGGGAACCATCGAGAGACATGAGCTCTTAGAGTGGTTCAGGCGTAAGCCCATAAGCCCACTCGTTCTGTCAACACTGTCAATCGCCTCCTGCATGCCCACCCTGGACCCCGTCACGAGGACGAGATCGTCTGCAAACGCCAAAGCGGAGACACGTTCTCCCTCCAGCCTATAGCCAATATTATCGGGTAGGGCCGCCAGAACAAGGTCCATAACAATGTTGAACAGAATAGGCGAGAGCGGATCGCCTTGGCGAACCCCCCGTCCCACCTTGACAGGAGCGCTCGTCTTACCGTTTATGACTAGTTTTGTAACTGAACTTTGGTATAGACGAGCAATGTAGTCGCAAAAGGGTCCGGGCAGTCCTCTTTGCCTCAGCAAGTCCACGAGCGCCTCATGAGACACCGTATCAAATGCCTTAGCAAAGTCTAGAACCGCCACATGACACTCCCGCAACCTCCTCCTGCAATCTCCCAGCACAGCGTCTAAAACGGCTGCGTTTTCAAGCGTGCCATCGGCACAAATGAATCCGCGCTGCCGTGCGTCGGGAGGACAGCATGCGAGCAGTCTTCGCGCCAGGAGCGTGTGCATGTGCCGAAGTGGTATCGACGCGATCGAGATCGGTCGATATTCGTTCGGCACCGCAGGCACCTCCTTTTTCGGCACAAAGACCGTCCGACACTGCCGTAGGATTTCGGGAACTTCGCCAGAGCGCATCCAAGCGTTGAATAAAGCCACCTTCGTCCTAACCGGAACCTTGCGCCAGTCCTCAGGCTTAATGCCCTCGGGTCCCGGCGCAGATTTCAGATCCACCTTCGCCTGGTTCACCTCAACTTCGGTAAATGGCTGCCACAGAGCAGAAAAATCGAGTGCACCCACCCCGTGCTGACCATGCGTCCGTAAACGGCGCAACGCAGCAGGAGTGGGACCAGCGGCGCTCGACACCCTCTCGAGTAGTGGTCTCCAATAGGCTTCCATCTCCTCGAGCTGGTGTGGAGCATTCCTGCATACACCGTCAATTACCTCTGCAGCCGCTCGACTAGGGTTTCTCTTCCACAGTTCCTGAACTCTGGCGTACTCCAATCTCCGCCTCTTTCGCCTGTTCGGCATGCGTGAGCTGTCCGTATAATCCGTTCCCGTGTACTGCCGTTCCCCGTACTTGCCTTTTCTATGACGGCTACGGTATGCCTCTCTCTTCCTCACTTTTTCAAGCAAGTCATTGAGGGCACCCGACGCTAACGTTTCATAGTCCGGGCTTTCCGTTACTCTAGGCGGATCATCCACGTGGGGCGACATCGGATTCGATCGCGTCTCACTTGGGGCCCTCGGCTCGACTGCCATGTTTTGCTGTAAATTGACTTGGTCTGTTTCTGGTGGTGGGGACGTAGATTCGTTCTCAACATTCTCTAGATAGTTTTTGACTAAGTCACGATATTCTTGTTTACGTCTCTGTCCTTTTATAGCTTCGAAAGTTCTACCGAACCCTGGTAGAGCTTTGGACAGTTCTACGTTCCCACACCGACCCAATTCTCTGGTCAGTCTTGCTTCGGTCCTTGCCATGAGCGCAACCTCCTCCTCATGCCACCTACGCTTCACCGCGTTGGGAGCGGCCTCCACATTCGCTTCTAGGGGATGCGCGGCACGCTTGTGCACACCTAATCCCCTTATACTCCCAAAAACTCTCCCACAAACAGGGCAGACACAACCGGGCGCCTCCAGCTCTGAAGCGGCTTCGCCCGATCGACCACCCCGCGTTCGGTTTATCGACGACCCCGACCCCAGTGAAGGGCCGGGGCCCACGTTTATTTCAATATTCTTTCTATTCGTGCCAGCGATAAATTCAACCCCTAGGCATGGACTGCTAATCCATACCCCAGGTACGCCCGTTCAGTTTTGCAGAGGCTCCGATCCTAGGATACCAAAAACGGACTTGGGTACGTGTCTAAGGTTGGAAGACCCGCACACCCATTCGGAGCTGCAGGGGGGGTAAACCCCGCCCTGCCTCACCTAAGTTAGCGTTACGCTGCTAACGCTTCGCGCATCCTTAGAAACCTAGGGACAAGCCAGCCGGAGCCTCCGTCAACTCCAGGGAAAATTGCGCATATCGCTCATTTGTTCTAAGAGCCCCCGATGAGCACCTACGTCCCTCCAACAAGCATGGGATCGTAGAGTCGTTTTCGGGGTGCTCCCCCCCCCCTCATTAGTCACAGGCGGCGGTACCACGAGCAGGTTGAGGGTAGGAGTTGGACGTTACGGATCGTTGCCGACCCGCTTCGACCTTACAGGCATCCGCAGTGTTTTGCTTCCATTGATCCGAGGTGTTTGTTGGCGCCACCCAAATCGGACATCTGCGGGGCCTGGAGCTTCTATGACTCTCAGACAATCACTCCCTACGTACTTGTCTATCATGCGACGGCTGCAGTGTGGTGCTTAGTTCCTTGCCTTCTCAGGCAGGCCCCAAGACCTCCCGCAACTTACGCTTCGCACTCGAGACGTTTCGCCATTTCTAGCGGATAGTACCCGTTGGGGGACACAGGGTTCCACCACATCTCACCTCAGAACTTCGGCTCGGCTCCCCGGGGCTGTTGGTAATGTCACGCACCTTTTGGCACGCAGTTAGTTTGGTCTCTGTTATTTAGTGAGGGAAACACTCATTCATCTTTCATTTCCAGTATCTCTGGTAGTACGGTGTTTTTCGTTGCGGTCTTTGCCATTTAGGCTTGACTACCGAACCCAGGTAGATCGCATGTGTTCCCTCACAGACCCAGCTCCCAAGGT